TCGGAAAAAGCTTCCTATAAGGGCAAGCCTTTATAGTTAATTACATCTTAGATAACCGCAGTCACTTAAGAAAATTATCAATAAATATCAGGGAATATTATCTTCAAAGAGGTCAAAAGGATGAGACTTTTCATCGAAATCGGACAAAGAGGTGTGAAAGGAGAACATCTTAAATTTGGAACATTTTTTTTTTAATCCAAAGAAAGAAGAACTAGGGGATGTCATAGATCCGGATGAGAACCTCGATGACTTCCCAAGCTATTCTTTTATTTGGCTTCGGTTTTGAAGAGAAATTATTTAAATGTTTCATCGTACCAATTTATTTAATTAAGGATTACATCAGTGTGAAACGATCATACAAATAGCCTGGAAGATGTGAGGGATGTGAGGGAGATGTGAGGGTTTAGGTTGTGATGAACGATAACCTCAGAATCCTAAGACGAGTTAGGGCTTATATTGTACAGCAGAGTTATACAAAAGCCTAATGAAAAGTTGAGAATTTATGTCGCATTAGACGGACAACCTCAAAATCCTATGGCTTGTTGTTTAATTCTAAGGGGAGATATGGTAGATCCTCTTGCTCTTGAAGATGGCCGTGCTACCAAAAATGCTAGCTCCAAGCTCCTCGCTGTGACGAGTTTAAGTTTTCTAATGTGTCAGGTTATAATGTCAAATCAGATGTTCCTATGGTTATGGTCAGTAAATGTTATGGCGCATATTAAGGTTATGATTCTACAGTTCCCTCCTTCCGGTACCACTATTTTTTATCGAATTCATTAGTCCAAATGAATTTACTAAACTCAACTTAATTAATTTTGCACTTTCATTTAGACCGTATGAAATCTCGTTAGCAACCGTAAGTTACCTCCTCCGAGGGATTCCCGATTATCAGATATAGACAACCTCCTCCGAGGGATTCCCGATTATCCGATATAGACATCTTATTTTAATTGCAATTGTTTTTTTGTGATGTTTGTGATTAAATTTTGAGTTGTCTTATATTTTGAATGTTGTGGCGGTGAATTTTACTTGGTTGATTTTAGTTTTGATTTTGGTTTTGTGGTTATCCTAGCAGTTTTGGTTTTCATGCAGGGTAATATCGTTGTTTAACATGCAATCTCGAGACAAGAAGTGCAGAAAGTTAAATGCATTAATTTAGAAGCGTACCTGTCGTTTTTTTTTTCGTTCCACCACCTGAAAGGTTAATATTCACAAAGCATGTATATAATTTTGTAGGGGATTTAAATTGCAGGAGTAGATGAAGGTTTAGCTACCGAACCCCAAGTTATGAGTTTATTGAGCCTTGGAAGATCTTAGTGGATTGTTTTAGAACAAAATATGACAAGTCCAATTTGCCCTTCAGAATGTCCAATAAATTTCAAAGTGCTCAAGGCATGACCCTAGATCACTTTGAATATCTCTTGAAATATTCCGAGTTCATTTTGGACTTATCATATTGTTCTATTAATCATCCAAGGTTGAAGTGTAATTACCTCGTTGCTCAGTGAAACTTGACAATTTAATTATCCCAAAGACAGAACACCCAGTTAATCAATTGATGTTTCATCTAAGAGTTATGTGAGTGGGTGCTCCTAAGGCAAGTTTAGGTTATTTAAGATTGTGGTGCCCGCAATTAAGGTCAGGATTGTAGTGTTTACAGAGATTAATCACCAATCATATCATCTTCTAAATCCAATCAATTGAGTTTAGACATTGAGCCTAGGTCACTACTAGGCCTTTAACAGTCATGACAGGTGGAATGGTGATTATCATATATATCCTTGTTGAATGATCCTAATATACAGTTTTTTTTTGTTATCTCTTTCATATAGTTTGTTAAGGAACTATCATGAATAAACATAATTTAATAATTTGTATTTTTGTTCTATAGTTATTAGTTATTTTTCTCTTGAACTAATTTAAAAAAAGAAATAATAACAATGACTTTTTTAAGTGCAAGCTTTCTTTCCAACAAGAAACCTCAAGTTTTCTTATGTAGGATTAATTCTGAGAGCTTTATAGCTACATCTACAGGATTACATCCTCTATGCTTTTAGAGCGCTTTAATAGAATAGTCTTGTGACTTTAATCTTGTCCTTAAGCCAAGTCTATTCTAATCTCAAACATAATTTTATGAGCTTTCTCTTACTTTGAATTTTTAGGTTATTAAGAAAATAGTCTTTAAAATTAGACAAAACCATCAAACATAATTTTTAATGATTTTTGAAAAGAAACTAAATTTCTATTGGATAAGTTTTATGAGTATCCATTTATTTGTTGAATATAGAAAGGAAGAAAAATATAAAAGAACAAAATTAAAAAGTTTTTATCTAAGGATATAAATTATTTAAGTCTTCCATTCTACTTTTGGGTACTTTCTTCCCACTTATAAGTTTGCAACTTATATGCTGTGGGTCTGACTTATTTTTGAATGATGTGAGGACCATTTCATGTGGGCTTTAATTTTAATTACTAAATGAAAAGATGCAATATAATTTTTTAATATTAAGCCTCTTAATTTAAGATGCTATCAACGATAGAGTTATAGTATTTTATTAGTTCTGCAAATCTTATCTTCTTCATGTTTCATTGAAGGATGGATTATTTAATGCTACAATAGGTTCGGTATGATTTTCATGCCTTCATCATTGTCGCATTCATCAATTTTTACTTCAAAAGTATGAGTAGTTAGCACATTTTAATTGCATAATTACTCAAATAATAATATAGCTTTAGCACCATAAGATAGAATATATAACATGCTGGCAGAAGTAAAAATGTTCATTGCCCACTGATAATAATAGTTTGGCCACCAATTTTTAGCAAATTTAAATCCCATACTTTCGGAGTTAATAACATTTATCATCTTTATTGGTGATGAGAAGCGTGTAACAACCATATATATAGCATGAAACAACTTCTATGTGGCATGCACTAGTATATATATTAGTTATATGCATCAAATCAAAGTTATTGATGTGACGTACATCGATGTTAAAGAATGGACAACATTACTATTGTCGTTAAGAACATGCATCAATCTTATTGGGAATGATATATGTCAATATTATTGGTAAGAACTTGAAGTCATTTTATTGGCATTGATATTCTTCAGCATTGTTGTTGAGGACACCATTGAACTTATTAATAATGATAAATATTGATGTTATTTGGTTGAATGTGAGAAATATCAAGTAACACTTGTCTTGTAATGAAAATTAGTTTATACTATTAAGCAGTAAGAGTAAGTAGATGATAATCGTTGGCAATTGTTGTATGATTTATCATCGAACAAAGCTCTAGACCTCCCTCATATGAAGAGAATTGTGATATTAAGAGATTTTGTAATTGACATATACTGACAAAAAGATTTTGTGATTCATATTGATGCATTTAATTCTTAATTGTTTTTTTTTTCTTTACGAAATTGGATTTATGAGCGTAGGATCAGCCCAAGGGGTTGTGGGTTTTTTTCTACCAATTATGTAGGATCAGCCCAAGGGGTTGTGGGTTTTTTTCTATCAATTATGGCTCTCCCTTCACCTCCCCATGGGGATGGTCTACAGGGTTCCCTTCACCTCCCCCATGGGGATGGTCTACAGGGTAGGGTTCATAACTACTCCTCTTACTACAGGACACTTACATAGCTGACACTTAGATACGGCTCTACCCAAACTTTTTTGGTTCATCCCAACATTACCCACTTGTCCGACAATTGCTAAGCAGTTTTTAGATATCAAACAGACCTCCCCAGATGGTAATCTTGATGTGGTCGATTTACCCTCTTTTGCAATCAGTTTCGTTACAACGTCTGCTGCTCTAGCTAATTGTCTACCTTTTTCAAGTGTGATTTCTATGTTATATATGGCAGTGCCTAAGGGCATATTGGTTAAAGTAGATTCTTTTTTTTATCAATCAAAACCCCTTCCCAAACTGTACAAGCTTCTTCCAAAGCATACAACTTTCTAGATGTATATGATGATATCTAGACGGATGGATCTTATATGTTCTATTAAGAGATTTTGTAATTGACATATGTTGACAAAATGATTTTGCGATTCATATTGACACATTTAATTCTTAATTATTTTTTATCTTTACGAAATTGGATTTATGAGCTCTTAGGCATATTGGATTCCAGTTGTCAAAATTTTTGCTTTGACTAATAAAGATAGAAAATTATAAAATTGTTTGATTCATTATTTAAGAGCTCAACTTAGTCATTTTGATCATGTAAAGTATTTTATTTATTGCCAGGTTCGTTTTATTTAACTATTTAATATTAATAAATAAATCCTAAATAACACTCAATTTAATTCGCAAAGATTTGTTATCGTGCTAATCATTTTTAAAATAATTTATAAGTCTACTCTTTTAAATTATAAAAATAAGTTTTAATTCAAATGCTAAATAGAAATATCCTTAATGAAAGACATGCTTTTTCTATTGAATAATACGCTTGTGATCTTTCCTCAAATTATAATCCTTCAAAATAATTTAATGATAATATTCTTCTTCTTAATTGCTATTTTCTAATAATTTTTTTTTAAAAGAATGATGGGACACGGGGTGGTGCTGGTGTCACTCCACTAAAACACAAATGGATTTAGGAGCCGTTTTAAGCATACCACCGATTCTCACATATATATTTTTTATCCAACACCTAGGCTTTAAATTTTACATTCATACAACCCAAATCGTCCATAAAACATCAAAAATATTATAAATTTAACTAATAATTAAATAAAATTAATGTTTAAATGTTAGATATGTAAATACATAAAAATTAAGTGATATGCATATAAATCTTCCATGGATTTAAGGAGAAAGAAGATGAAGAAAAGAATTTTTTATTTATTTTGCATGTTGAAAAAGAAGACCATAACAACTTCGATTACATAGAAACACATAAGGAGAGCAACAATTCAAGAGAAACACTTCTTCACCATACTCATTAAGATCGAAGTCTTGAACCACCACTTACTTCTTCACCACCGTTGCTAGCAACTTTCGTTGCTTCCCCGACGACACAATGGAGGCCCTGTATAATGCGCACGCTTGTGCCCACCCAACGCTTGTCCAGATTTGAACACTTTATTGCATTGATCACACGGATACGTTTCTACCACGGCAGCCCCAACAGCCGCCAACAATGGCAATGCGACCTTCTCCACCCCCGAGCCAACATTCATTTCCTCATTGCTATTATTTAACAGGCATTGGTTGATGCTTTGACTTCCCGACGGCAGCATTGGTGGTGCCAAAGTCTGACAAAGCATTTCGTGATAATTATCAGAATGATTCATCGTCATGACTTTCGTTGTTTTCCTCTGCCTCTCTATCTTGGAGCAAATCCATATCAATTTGCTGCGCTTTGCATCATCGATGTCAGTTTCGGAATTCGACCTTCTTAACGCCATGAGAATGCAAGCTGCTTTAACATCGGCATGCTTAGCTTGTTTGAAATTTGAAAAAGATGTTTTTCCGGCTCCATGGTTGCTTTCCCCATGAGTTCTAGAGGAAAATAACATTTCTCCTTTAATCAAACTGCAACGATCGTAGGATTCCTCCTGAGAGTAGCGATCTGTGAGAGAAGCAGCGGGGTAAGTGAATGAACTATTTCAAGATCAATCCTCTTCTTTTATAGATGAGCTTCATCCTCATATTAGAATAAATTAGGAAACTAGATCTGAACATAATCTGAATCAATCCAAAAATTAAATCAACTTGTTTTAATTTTGGAAACATTCTAAAAATACCAAATTAGCTTTTCGACTTCTCAGTTATTAAATTTGAATTTCATTTTGAACAATCATCTGGATAAGTCTTTCTGTTTTATCAAACTCTAACTAGAATACCGTGCTTATAAGTTTCGTTGGATGAAATAAATTTTGTCTAATGGAAACTTGTTTAAAAACTTTATTAAAGTTATTTATGTATAATTCATAATTTGCAAAATTAATCATTTGTGTTGGAGCTTAATCAAACGCAAAACAGAATTAACAATTGTTCTTTAGACATTTAATTATTTTTATGAAATTGGATTAAGTTATTTGATCATTTTGAATTCCAGGTATGAAATTATCGCCTTTCACTATTGAGTCTATAAAATTCATTAGTTAAGTATACCTTCAAGGCTCAACTAACAAGACTAAAATACTTTAAAATATATAATATTAAGAAAAAAAAATTAATTGATTACCTAATTTAATTCACAAACTAGTTTAACGAAAAGATGTTTCTACTACATTGTTTAAGAAAATGTAATTTATAAAAATTAGTTAGTTTATTAAATAATAATATGCCAAATTTACTATTGTTAAATTATTAATTAATCAAATAAATATCATCAAAGAGGAGGCATTCTCTTTTCGTTCCTCCGATTGTTGCGGTGACGTTGTCGAATGGAGCTCCATACCAGGTTTGTAGGATTCCTCCAGATAGTTATCTATAAGTGAGCGAATGTGAGTGAAGCATAGAAGTGAAGCAAGTGAGTTGAGAACTATTTCAAAACCGAGCCACCTATTTTATAAAGATGGAATTATCTTCATATTAGGATAAAATAGGAAACTAAATCTGAAATAGAATCTAAACCAATTAAAAAATAAATTCAACTTTGTTTTTATTTTAGAAACATTCTAAAAATATAAAATTAAGTTTTCTATTTCCGAGTTTATTAAATTCGAATTTCATCTCAAACTCCAAACTCTAATTAAAAGACCGTTATATAGTCTTGGTTGGATTAAAAGATCTACTTACCATTTAAAGGACTTGGCAAATTTTGCTCCTACTCCACTGCGAGGGAGTAAAAGCAAAATTCTTTCGCTATTAATAGCAAGGAAACGGGTCGCCGGAGAAGAGAAAACATAGACCGCGACTGAATTATGTAAAAGGTATTAATATAAAATATATTTAAGCCATTAAAATTTAATTATTTAGGATTAACATTATTTAAAATTTTGGAGCATTTACATTTCCAACGCCCAAACAAGCAAATTTAGATCAATTGCAATGTGGGTCTACAACGACTAAATTGGAATTACCTTTTCTCTGTTATTATAAATTAGTTATAAGGATATTGAGCTGAAATTTTTTAGAATTTTCATAATAATTTTCAATTATGAATCTCTAAACTAACCTCATGAAAGCATTCCTCTTATAGGTTGTCAAAAACAAATTAATTTATAAATTTAATTATTTTACCAGATAATGCAACACAAAAATGTATTTTAATTAAATTATTAGTAAATCATATAAATATCATCAAAACTAACATGCTTGCTTTCTAATTACAATTTTAATCTTTTTTATTGGGATAATTCCTTTTTTGGGATTCATCTGACTATCTTAGCCGTTAATGCATCCGACGTTATTTTTTTCATGTTGTAAATCCTTGAACAACAAACACATTTGATTTGAGAGAGAAAAAAAAAATGAAGAAACAAATTCTTTATTTATTTTACACATTTCAATGAAGAAACAAATTCTTTATTTATTTTACACATTCATGAGAAAGTAACTCTCATTGAATAGAAACACACAAGGGACAAACAAGAGAAGACTTTTGCTAGCTAATTAAGATCGATGTGGTGAACCAGCACTCTCTCAGCCACCGCTACAGCCGACAAGCTCCCATCTCTCCCCGGGCGGCACAGCGGAGGGCCAGTATAATGCGCACGTTTGTGCCCACCCAATGCCTGCCCAGAGCTGAAGCTTTTATCACACTTATCACACTGATGCATCTCAACCTCCATAGCCCCAACTTCTGCCATGATTTTCACTCCTTCATTGCTATTACTCGTCATGCGTTGGTCGACGCTGTGCTCATGTAAGGCCAGCATCGATGGTGTGAGTGAGACCATCCGACAAGTTATGTCCAAATTGTTATCGGAGTGCTTTGACACCGTTTCCTTCATCTTCTTCCTCCTCTCCCTCTCTATCTTGGCACAAACCCATCTAAGTTGGCCCAGTTTTGCGTCGTTGATGGCAGTTTCAGACTTCAACTGTCTCATCTCCAGGAGATTGCAGGCTGCTAAGACATCTTCGCCTTTCTTTGCTTGCCCCAAACGTAAAAGAGAGTGCTTTCCGACTCCCCTGTTACTTTTCCGATGAATTCTTAAGTGTCCAAACAAGGCTTTTGTGGAGGAAAAAGACATCTCACACTCAGTGCAATCATTGCAACTCAAAGAAGAAGAAGCATTCTTTTCGGATCGGTGAAGTTTGGTTCGAATTTTCAAGGAGATATCTTTCTTCTCAACAGATTCCAGCATTGGAGCCGATGACTGAAGCTCCATCTTAAGTACTTTCAGGTTCTCTTGTGTAGGATTAAATCTGAAAACTACGGGCTTCGTCGATGAACCATAACGAGATTGTTCCTCTGCTTTAATAGATCTATTTAATCTTTCTACAAGTATATATTTGGAAATTAGATCTTAAGAGAATCTGTTTTAATACAAAAATTAAATAAACTATCTTTTATGTTTGGAAACATTCTAAAATTATGAAATCAGGTTTCCGATTTCTTTGTTTCTTCAATTTTAATTTCATTTTCAAGAATTAATAGGATACTATTTTCTAAAAATAAAAATCTAATTAAACTGACTATTTAATGTATGTTTTTTTTTTGGATGAAATGTATTTCGTCCTACCGAAATACATACATATATTCCAACCGAAATTAAGACAAACATAAATACATATATTAAATTATTTTAGGTAATAGACTTGATTTAGAAGGGGATTATGAAAGTTTGTGGTTCTAATCAGTTATGATGAGGATTTGATAAAATGGAGCTATGTACATATAAAAAAAATTTTAAAAAAAATACTTGCTTGAACAAACCTTAAAGTATATTATTCCGGTTCTTATAGCCGTCCATTGTGTTTGTGAAAGCTTAATTTAAAATAGCTGTGAAGTTTGTGTTGAAATCTATATCTATAGATAGAGGACAATGCCACTTGGAAAATTTACATACCGAATACACAATTCTTATATATTTAAATATTTCACACCTAAAGTTTCATATTCACATACATACAATTCAATTCATATGTATTTACATATCTAACACCTAAACTTTCACTTTTCATTTATGCCACCCATATCTTCCATATTACAAAAAATTTTTTCCTTTGTTCAGTTCCTAAAAAGATAAAATATACTTTCTCATACATGGATACGGTGGCAAATACATATAAATTGAAGTTTTGGTGCTAGATACATAAACACATAGGAATTGAGTAATATATTTGTAAATCTTTCAAATCAATAAATAAATAAAAAAAAAAACTCAAGGAGCTTGACATATACCATATGATTCTACTGGTTCACCTTGCTTGCACAGTCTTTTGTTACTCTTATCTGTTTCTTTTATTGATTAATCTCTTACCGATTATGGTGTTAGATGGACAGTCTTACGCCAGTTGAAACCCTAACTAGAGTTCATAAATTTTGAGTTTTAACCTGGGTTGAAACTCTGCCTATATAAAGCAGAAGTCTGAAAAGAAATGGAAAATAATTTCTTATTGTTTGATGATGAAATTTGTTATCTTTAGGCCATAGATTTTAATCAGATACTTTTTTTTATTCTTTAATGGTAAATTTGCAAATGCATATGATCCTTTTGTGTTTACATATTTTACACTTAAATTTTTATGTTTACTTGTATAGTACTTGGGTACTCTCACAGAAGATGTTGTTGGGATGTCATTCTCATATTCTTGTTATTTTTGTGAATGCAAATATTTGAATGAATGCAAATATTTGAATTATTTTTGTGAATGCAAATATTTGAATTGTTGATATATTTATATGAATTATCGAATTGGCCTATAAGATTGGACGTATTGGGAAAAATTTTGATATATTTATATGAATTATCGAATTGGCCTATAAGATTGGACGTATTGGGGAAAATGGGCAATGATGCGAAAGACATCTAGTGCTAAGAAACGGGATAATAGAATAATATTTCTCCTGATCGAAGGACTTCGTGAGGGTGCATGATCCAAATTACTATTCACCAACACTTTGTAAGAAGCTAACATTGCTTTTCTAGACTGCTGGCAGCTCTAGCATAACAATGTGACTGACTCGTGGACCATCTGATTCGTAAAAATGCAAGTGTAATATAACTAAATTTTTTTTCTCGTGACACTAATATTTTTTTACTGCTAAGTACTTAAAATTTAACTTTATTTATATGTTTGATAAATTAAGAATTTTGGGGGTTACTTTCTACGGGCCCACTTGTTAGTCACATTGATTGGGTTAGGAGTTACCCTCCTTTAATTGTCTTGCTGGTAGCCTCTATCCAAGGTTGAACTTTATAAGCACAAATTACCGATGGTTGCCTACGGAAGTCCCTCTAGAATTGTTAGGGCCACATGTTCTGAGTGTGAGCCCACCCTTAGCTTAAACTCTCATAACCAGTTTTGATCTTTCATATATTACTACATAATTTCATATGTTTGCAATTTTCTTTTCCTGAAATGTCATCGAAGGTGACAGGTACGTACTGCCACTTTCTTTTTACCGCACTTTCTTTTTTATTGTACTTTACTGTATTTATTTTGTTTATATATCCAACATTATTATTTTGTTAATTACTATGCTTCTTGCTTGTGAAAAAATCCCTAGAGAAGAAAACATAGGACACAAGCCTAAGATGAAAAATTTATTTATTTCCTTGTTAAAAGCCCTAGGTTAGCAGACGTAGACATATTCTTAGGAGGAAGTACTACAACAAAAATTATTGTCTTAACGATAACAACAAATCAGCACCTCAAAATCTATCTTCTAAAACCAAAACACTAAAATAAAGAACCTGGAAGGAGTTGTTCACAGAATGAGCTACGATGATACAAGCAAGCGAGGGACAACTTCAGATGAAGATCAAGACAAAACATGAAGCGAAGGATGAACCTCAACTAACTTTCCATAGCCTTAAACAACATGAACCTCAACTAACTTTCCTAGGCTATTTGAATGATTCGAATATTGTGCAAGTGTAAGCCCTAAATTTGAATAAATAGCAAGAGTAAACATTGAATAATATCATTGCCAAAATGCTTAGCCAAACCATATGATTGTTTGAAAAATTATTGAGGTTCTCATGGTCTGTAATAATATCCTACTTTTCGCTCCTTTGGTGACCAAAATAATTGTTCATACTTAAGTCATTCCAACTTGATTTTCTTATGAACAATCGTGAAAACTAAATTTCAAATTTTTGAAAGCAAAACCTCGATTTTAATTGAGAGTTTTATTGTGTAACTTTAGTTAATTATGATGTAATTAAATATAGGGATTTGCTCCTATAGGAGAATTATTAACCCAGATAATCTAATCCCTGTTTAATCTTTTATATTAGATAGAAGAATTATCGGTCATAATGAGTCTTGGCTTGGAAGCTAAGTCGATTTAAATTGCGCTTGTTAAATTCTACCAAATTTTCACTAAACCTAATGATTTAGTTGAAAGTTAATTTAACTATAGTTAAATATGTCGGGAAAGATCAAGTTATGAAAATAACCTCCCTTTGCACTGAAGTAAGTATTTTGTGCAAGAATAAAACACTTATAATATACATTGTAATTAGTGTCAAAAAGAAGCATTCCTCGTCTTTACCTTGTTTTGAGTGCATAAAAAGTTTGGTTTAATTAGGTAGGTGTTTCTGTCTGTTACCCTAGAAAACTCTAAGTTACCCCTATCAGAACTTATCTCCCTAACTATTTCCACTGCCCTATGAACTACTTTTCCTTCACCCAATAGTGTAATGGGGTTTCTACTAGTTGTTTAAGTCATAGTTCTCTTTGATCATTATAGATTCTCAACAGGTTTTAACATACCAATTGACTATATTGATAAGTAAAGGAAACATGAAGTAAAAAACGATCACAATAATAAATAAAAACTTATTCTAAATGTATCCAAATATCCTACACATACAACTACTACTACATTAAAAGAGAAAATTGAAAATGAACTACTCACAATGCATCAAGAAGACACAACAATCCATTATATTATAAAAAAGGAATTCATACACAATGAGTTTACAATTAGTATAAGACATTATAAAATGAAATATTTATCTTTGTCCTTGAGAAAAGAAGTGAAAACCCTCCTCAAATGAACTAGAAGTATTCCTTGCACTGGTTATGTGTGTACTATTTAAAATAAAGTAAACTTTATTTTGGAAATATTAAGAGAGTCTTACAGTTATATAAAAAGAAGGGATTGAGACTTTATGAAAATTCTTTTTCAAACCTAATATGCATTTATAAGTAAGATATGTATTAGATTTTTAACTTTAAGAAGATGATGGTGAAATTTAAAATCATTAAAGGTTATCCAAATATAGTAATCCTCACATGAAAAAGAAAAAAGAAAAGAAAAAAAAGAAAAAAAAGCATATATATATATATATATATTTATTTATTTATTTATATAGTGTGTGTGTGTTTGTGTGAGGAGAAGCTTTAGAAAATGCCTAATAAAAAATTGGCTTCATCTGAATCAACTTAAGGAAAGAGTCTTAAATACATTTAAATACATTTCTAAGCTTATATTAAAGTATTAACATCTTTACTAATGAAGTTCTTTTTCATATACTGCTTCTAAGCATCCTTAATTTGACGAATTACAATTATTCTTGAAATAAATAGGAAACAAAAACTCTTATAATTATGTACTAGAAAATCTTATATCTTTAGTTTTAACTTAAATTATTAAAATTTTTTCTAAAGTCTTAATATTGTCTTTATGGAACAAAAACTATAGAAGTTTTTAAGTGATGCTCACTATCTTAAGTTATATTTTTTATGTAGTAAAAGTGTTACTTGAGGGCAAGTAAGAGTTAAGTTTAGGGGGATTTTGATACACAAAAAAAAATTCAATTTTTCATATGTATTTAAGGCTTATATTTGATGATATTGCATTTTAAAGAAAGATATTTTCATGTTTTCTTACAGGTATACTAAGTCTAGGCATTCAGAGCTTAAATAATGCAAAAAGTACGAAATCTGGAGTCAAAAGTGACGTTTTCCAAATATTGAACTAACACCTAGGCGCCAAAATACAGAGAAGATGGCGCCTAGGCGCTAAAGACTGTTATTTTTATAAATGCATTGAATTTGGACAAATTTTAAAGAGGTGCATTTGGAGACTCTTGGGAAATTAGTCCCTACAATTTAAATGAGTGTTTTTATGTCAGAAAAAGTTGCATGTGTTGATTGTAAAGGTGTGAGACGTGAGTTTTAAGTTGGTAGAGAGTGTTGCAAGTGTCTCAAAGATTTATAAGAGGAGAGGGAAAGTGAGAGATTCTTCTTCTTTACATTTCTAAGAGAGATTTGAGTGATATTGTAAAGAGAAAAAGAGATTCAAAAGAACTTCAAGGGATTTTCTTGGGGAAGTGATCGAGTTAAGTGTTTTACTTTTATTTCTTGTTTTGTATATATATATATATATATATATATATATATAATGATTTGTTGTATATTCCTCATGAATTCTAAGTAGATTTCTTTGTCTTTCTCCCTACAAAGAGAAATGTTTATGCAAAAAATCAAGTTGTTGTGCAATATTTTAATTTCATATTTTTTATGATTCAAACTTCATTTATTTTTCGATCTGGGTAATTGATTGTTAAAACTTGAGGGCTATGCTTTCCACAACAAAGTAAGGGGTCACATTTGATTTTATAGATGAGAATGTAATACAGAAGGTCGAGTGCAAATAAATAGAGAAATATTCATTGATGGGCGTAAAATTGGAGATTTTACCGTGATATAATGAAATCTCCAATTTGGTGTAGCGTTTGGAAACTAATGTGAGATGTTAGCCCTCAAGCGAGGGGAACGTGGGAACATTGGACTGAGAGTCAGTATCTTCCCAGCCTAACTGTGGATTTAGGGAATAAGCACTAGATTAGCCAATGTTCTTTATCACTTGTAAAATGATAAATAATATAATTGCTCCTATTTGACACAATATAATTTTCTTCAATTTTATAATTCATTGATTATAATTTCGTTGTAAGGGGAATGATGCTTTTTTAAATTTGAACTCTTCGTCACAAAACTTAGTTTAGTTTTAGTAAATTTAGCTTGAATTTTAGAGTTTAGTGTAGTAAACATAGTTTAGTTAGTGACATTAAACAAATTTTGACCTGTTTTCTTACTTAAGTTTTCTATAGTTTAAATATTATGCTTTTGCATGATTTTCCAAACAAAATTTAACATCCCTGTGGGATTGATGCTCAAGACTCCATTAGAGTCCTTTATAACTTGAGCGATACATATACTTGTGTTTGCAACCTAGTGACACTTTAAAATTGAAAGTAAACCTTAATTCTCTAGGAGTGACAGCTTTAGATATTTTAAAGGAGAAAACTTATTGTACTGAAGAAGTTTTTATTGTGGTTAATTTACATATTTTTTATTATGATTATCTTGTGTGTTGTGTGTTGTGTGTTGAAAAGCATTTATAACGCATAATAAAACTCCACATCACTTCCATAAACCCTCCCTACCCACCTCCCTCTCTCTCATATCGCCTGAATCCATCGCATAACTTTCCCTTTTGCTCCGCTCTTACTTGAAATCATTGAGAAAGAACGAAGATAGATGAAAATGTAAGTTTGAGAACAGCGAGATATAAATGACAAGATTACCTAAAAATAATTATAAAAATTTTCGGGAAGAAAATTAGCTTTAAAAAGATATATAAGCTTAAGAAAATAAATAAAGAAGTTGACCTGAGAACACAGGTTTGAAGATGCAACATAAACCTACGTTTCATTAAAGGAAACCAATAATGCCAGGGAATTATCTCCTCTCAAAAATAAAAAATAAGGAATTCATCATTCACCCATCAAGCGATTCATATTAAAATAAATAAATAAGAAATTTTTAATCTCTATGATGGGATGAAGCCTAATAAAATATTCCGAGACCACAATCTCTGAACCAGTGCACAATCATTGAAGCCCGCAACCTATATTTATATTTAGCACCAACCAATTTACAGATCAGATCCATGAACATTAGATTCCGTCTCTTTCTCCTTTCAAAGGATTATTATATGGAAGACTGTGTTCCTCTTTAGCTCTTTCTTCTGTCTCCATTGCTGCTACTGCTCCCCGTTTGATTGATGCTCCAGCAACTTTTATGTTTGAAGTTTGAATGCCCTCTCTTTTCCCATGCTTCTGTAGCTGCTGCACTTCGTATTTGCTCTTTTCCATCCATCTTTTGATGGCGCAAAAGCTCTCATGAAAATGCTGTGACTTTCTTGTTGGTGGTGCTTTTGCTTTGTTTTCTCTTCTTCAGCAAGATCAAATTTTGTCTTTGCTTCTTCCATGGAAGAATCATCTCCCCCCGAAGCTCTGAAAGAAATTCAGACGATTTCCTCTGAATTAAATCCAAAGCCATTAACAATCAAAACATCAAACCCTGCTTCGGAAGGCTTTATTGGCAGTATTTCTGCTCCAATCTCTCCTTCCATATCCATTACTCCTCACCTCAACTCACCATCTCCTCCTTCCTCAGCCTTTGTTTCTGCATTGCAGTCTCCTTATATTTCTCCAAGAGCAGTAGAACCACCAAAACAATCGATAGAAACGCATACTACGACCACCACTACAAACACAACTCCAACAACAGTGACATCAAATCCGTCACCTATCTCCTTCTCCGGCGACGACAACCGGAGCACATCCAACACTCCTTCAGAGAGGTATGACTTTACTGAGCGAATAGAACAAAGGCCTAAGTTCTCCGATGCTGCTGCTCCCAGGATATCCTTCTCCTTCCCAGCCCCAAGAGTCCCCTTCACAAAAGGATTTAGTTCTCCTTGCGCCAATGCGAAGCTTAGGAGCTGTGACGTCTACATTGGATTCCACGGCCAGAGCCAAAACTTGGTTAGATTCTGCAAATGGCTCAAATCAGAGCTTGAACTTCAGGGCGTTGCTTCCTTTGTGGCCGATCGAGCAAAGTACTCTGATAGTCAGAGCCATGAGATCGCTGATAGAATCATTTGTTCAGCAACTTATGGCATTGTTGTTGTGACAGCGTCTAGCTTTCTCAATCCTCCGACTGTAGAAGAAATAAGGTTTTTTGCTCAGAAGAAGAATCTCATCCCTCTGTTATTCAATACGGAGCTTTCAGAGATCAGTAGTTTGGTTGAAGGCAGATTAGAGGTTAAAGACTGTAGAGATGCTTTTGAAGGATTGGTAACGGGCGATGAATTCAAGCTCGAAGCGAATGATGGCAACTGGAGAAGTTGCGTGATGAAAACTGTGACAATATTGAGGTTGAAACTTGCAAGGAAGAGCTTAGAAGAGAAAGAGAGAGATAATGGAGTAGAGGAGCTGCCATTTCCACAAAACCGATTTTTTGTAGGGAGGGAGAAAGAGCTGACTGAGATTGAAGCTGCATTTTTCGGAAAAGCTGAACCAGAAATCGAGTACCCAAAACCGGTTATCACCAGTGGCGGCGGATTAAGTGATGGTTTTGCTGACGAGGAAAGCGATTCAATCCGAAGCAATGGCAGATACATCTGTTTGGAGATGAGAAAATCGAAAGAGCCTACATTGGAATCTTGGGTTGAGCCTGTAGTGGATCTTGGCTCCAAGGGAAGAAGCCTTCAGCGCCAGCGATCGAAGCATAAGAAATCTCGAAGCGGAGGCAAAGGTTATGGAAACTCAAATGTTGTATGCATCAATGGTGTTTCAGGAATAGGAAAAACAGAGCTAGCTTTGGAGTTTGCTTACAGATACTTTCAAAGATACAAGATGGTTCTTTGGGTTGGTGGAGAGGCAAGATATTTCAGGCAGAACTTACTGAACTTGTCAACAAGTTTAGGTTTGGATGTCAGCGCTGAGGCAGAGAAGGAGAAGGGGAGAATCAAAAGCTTTGACGAGCAGGAATTCGACACGTTTCAGCGAGTGAAGAAGGAATTGTTCAGGGATGTGCCATTCCTGTTAGTAATCGACAATCTCGAGACTGAAAGGGAGTGGTGGGAGGGCAAGGGCCTACATGATTTGATTCCAAGAAATACTGGAGCAACTCATGTAATAATTACAACTCAACTATCCAAAGTCTTGAACTCTGATCCAATTCAGCTGCCGCCGCTTTCAGTGGCAGATTCATTGGTGCTACTCAGAGGGAGGAGGAAGAATGATTATTTTTCTGAGGAGCTTGAGATTCTCGGAAACTTTGCCGAAAGATTGGGGAGGTTGTGCTTTGGACTGTGGCTGATTGGTTCACTGCTATCTGAACTAAAGATGTCACCATCTGCGCTATACGAAGCCATTGACAGAATCTCCCTCAATGAGATCTCCTTCTCTTTGATTGATGATGAATTTCTGCAAAACAATCTCTTCCTCGTGAAGACACTAGCTTTCAGCTTTGCGGTACTGGAAAACGCTAAAGGAAGGCAAAGGCTAGCACTGAGAATGATTCTCTCTGGTGCTTGGCTTGCTCCAGCTCCAGTGTCATCAGAATTGCTCGCAGCCGCCGCTGAGAAGAAAAACGGGTTCCATGACTGGGGAAAGTCCCTTCCTTCATCCTTATGCTGCTGCTTGTCCTCGCAGTGGAGTTGAATCCGCACTCATGCTTGCCAAGCTAGGCCTGGCCAGGAGAACCACAACGCAGCCAGGTTGCTACATCCAACTCCACCCAATCACCCAACTTTTTGCTAGGAAACAAGGTGGTGCACTACCTGCTAAGTCCGCAGTGCTTGGAGTGAGGAAGTTGGGGATCACCACATCAAACACCAGCCATCTTTGGGCTTCCGCGTTCCTCCTGTTTGGATTCAAGTCCGAGCACCCACTTGTTCAACTCAAGGCGTCCGACATCGTACTGTTCATAAAAAAGATAGCTATTCCACTGGCACTTCAATCTTTCGTGACATTTTCAAGGTGCAATTCAGCATTGGAGCTGCTGAAAGTGAGCACGAATGTGCTTGAGGAGGTGGAGAAGTCTTTTGTGTCGCAAATTGAGGACTGGAGCCATGGACCTCTGTGCTGGAACAAGAGGTTGCTGGCTAACCAGAGAGTGAATGAGTTTGTTTGGCAGGAGGTGACATTGCTCAAGTCTGTGTTGCTTGAGACTAGAGCAAAGCTGCTGTTGAGGGGAGGGCATTTTGACAGTGGTGAGGAGCTATGCAGGACTTGTATTAGTATCAGGACTGTAATGCTTGGCCATAATCATGCACAAACTTTGGCGGCTCAGGAGACATTAGCAAAGCTGGTCAGATACAGGAGCAAGATTTAGTGTTTTTTATTCTAGCATTTGAAAATGGATATGAGGAAATTTTCTGCAGTTGGAACATCCAGATTTATGAGTTGCTGGACCTTGTTCTGAAATTTTTGTTGTCTAGTTTTGTACTCAAGTTTGCAGGTGTATATGTATGCAGAGATTATTATGTTAAGTCTATTTCAAATTTTTATAATTCGGTCATTACAATAAAAAATATAACTACAGCAAATAATCTACTAATTAAATGTGCAAATTTATAATGGCAGGGGATGGATATATGAGAATAAATTCGGGTTTTTATATATCAATCATTCAAAACTTTAAATATAACATTTTAGCTACTTAAACTTAAAATTTATATTTTAACCACATTATTACATTATATTTAAAGATTTAGTGGTTTTTGGGTGATTGATACGTAAAAACCCCAATAAATTAATACAAATAAGCATTAAAATAGTGCATGAACATTTATAATTATTAAATTCTACCAGTTTGAAATCCCTTTGGTTAATTGAGTTGTAATCTAAGAATTTGTTTGGGTTTATTTTTTGCTTTTTGTTTTTTGTTTTCTTTTTCTTTTTTGGCTTTTATTTTATTTTTAAAACAAGTTTGTTTATTTTATTCTTATTTTTAAGTTTTTATTTTGGGAAATTTACATATATATACCACACAATCCTCATACATTTACATATCTAACACATTAAGATATTTACATTCGTATCACATTGGTGTCGTAAACTTATGCATGAAAATGTGTATTTAATTTTTAAGAAGATAGTGATGATGATTATTTTTATGTGATGTTAAAGACAAAGCGGTATGCTTGTAAATATAAATGTTTAAGTGTTGGACATATAAATACATAAATAATATGTGGTATGTATGTAAATGTCCCTTTTATTTTTTGAAACTCATAAACTTATTTTTAAAAATACTCAAAACACCCAAATATTGTTTCGAGTGCTCTAAAGAAAACTAGCCATGTCATAATACACAAAATATGTTTCATTTTAAATGAAAATATAAACAAAACGAAACAAATAAAAGCAAATATTAAAAATCAAAATCAAAAGTGATCTGAAATTGCCCTAAATAATTGAGTTATGACTTGAACGCCCAATTTGACTGAGCTATTCCATCAGTCTGTTATTCCATCATCCTAGACTTGCAGTTATAAGTCCAACATAGTTGGCTTCCTCAAATGTGTGGAAAAACATTCACATAAGCATGTCTACGGCAAGAGTGTGGTATGTATGTAAATGCCCCTTTTATGTTTTGCTTGAAAATACTGATAAACTTATATAATTACCCAAAACTCTATCTATTAAGGACACCCAAGCTTTATACAAAAAGCTTTACCAATATATGCTTGGCTTATGTTCTTAGACTAAGATATCAAATCAAAAAAATTGAATTTTGGAGGTGACCTAATGACTGTAAGCCAAAAATAAAATTCAATATCTAGTTTATAAATATAAATTAAAGAATAAAATACACATTACAATAACCTAAGATTAAGAGGGTGAGAAGGTTTTCTTGGGGAAGAACTCGACGAGCAAGGGAGCGAGACATCCAATTTCCTACGTTGAAGATAAGCTTCATCCTAGGTCGGGGCCGGAAGACCACTAGAGCATCGCCAGAGCGTGGGCTTCTCTCCTACTGTCAGGAGAGCATCATTCGGAACAAAAGCTCAGGATGTCGATCAGTCATTTTTTACGACTTAGCCCTTAAACCTTTGCATTTTTTCTTCCATAGCTAGCCCTAAGAGTATCTTAGGTTGGTGTCGTGAGTTCGACCACCCACATGGGTTGAGCATGGCAGGTCGTGTCGGCCGATCCGTTCCCTTTGTGTTGGTCATTGCTTTTCTAGAGAAAGCCTTAAGGTAGGAATCTAGTGCATGGCCAAAACCCTTTATGGAGCTGAGCTACTTCCTCTGTAATTCCTAGACCCGAATTCTAGAGGGTTGGAGTTTTTATCTCCCTTTGCTTTGGTCCTCCCCAACCTTTCTTGGAGAGGTTGGGTGTTTGGATTTCATAAAGTGAGAACAACTTTGTAGCTAGCTTGCATTGCAAAATCATGAGGGTTTATGAAATGGGAAAAGCTTTGTAGCTAGTTTATTTCAAAATGTTGTGGAGAGTTTTTCCTTCGGAGACTCGGAGGTAAAACTCCTCACACACCTCGCCAAAGTAGAAGATAGTCATGTTACACAACTAAGTGCTAACCCTAGGTGTCCTATTGATCCCTGATGCAATATATGCGTGCTTAATGTGTAATTTTTTTAATTTCAGTTAACAAATAATTTTCATTTTTCTCCACAATTCAATTTTACACACTATGGATACTACGCAAGTGTACGTATCATTTCAAGTAATATAGGTCTTTCTCTTAATCCCCAAGTATCGATCCCACGGGGAAGGAAAAACTCTTTTTATCGACTTAGTAAAAATCTACTTCAATTATAGATAACTTTTATAGGAATTAATGTATTTGTATAAAAAAGTATCTTATACCAAAAAAGTTATATTTATAAACTTAACGGAAATGCTAAACTTTTCTAAACTAAATTTATGTAGAAAAGTTCAAATTGTATGAAAAACCATTCTCATTGCAATGAGATTTTAATCAGTGTAGGAATCAAATATTTATAAATTGAAATATAGTTTTGTAACAAATGCATACATATTCTTTTCCCTCTTCCGAGTGCATGAAGAATATTGACTAACCCAAAGTTAAGTTCCTAAATCATTGGTTATGCTGAGTAGGTTCTAGCCTGCCACCCTAGAGTACCCATGTAAGCCCTCAGCTAGAGCTAACCTAGCCTTAAGTTCCAAACCCTAGATCAAATTGGAAGGTTCTAGTTTGTCACCATAAAATCACCAATTTACACCTATCAAATCTTATCTCCTTATCTATCTGCATTCACCCTAAGATTACTTTTTATTCGTTCTAAAGGTTAGTGTGGTAATTCCAATTGAGGAAAATAATAGCCCTCACGGGTCATTACGTTTTCATAATATGTTTTAACTTATGAATTGACCAAATTGCATAACTAAATGAAGCATGAAGTATTATACCATCACAAATAAAGGCAATTTTAAATAATTCTAATTCTACAAATTATTATTTCTCATCACAATGAGAACTATAAGGAAAACTACTCAGTTTACATGACGAAATTACAACAACACAGGAATTGATATTTAATCGCAGGTTTACATAATAAAGTTTAGTAAAAATCAAACAAAAATATAAAACACTTATCTCAAACACCTCCCAAAGCAATTCTCTTAAAGTTACTTTAAGGAATTCTATAACTCTCCTTCCAATCACACCCAAGGTTTTCTGCTTGAGACTAGAGCAAAGTTGCTGTTGAGGGGAGGGCATTTTGACAGTGGTGAGGAGCTATGCAGAACTTGTATTAGTATCAGGGTTGTAATGCTTGGCCATGATCATGCACAAACTTTGTTGGCTCAGGAGACATTGTTTAGGTCAAATGGTGAAAGTAGTGATGGTTGTGAGAGTTGTGATTGGGTATAAACTTTGATCAGCAGTTCTAGAGTGGAGTATTTTTTTGGTTGTAAGGCCTTAAATATAAAATTTGTTTGAACAAAAATAAATTGATAATCATTGTCCCATGCAAATTTATTAACATAAATTAAATTGTGAAAAATATTACGAGCTCGAAATAGTGGAGATAGAGTAAGCTTACGACGGGGAGTTGGAAGAATACCATTTTCAATGTGTGTAGTTTTAGTATTTGGGTCATTGCTAACAACCATTGATCTGAACTTGTGTAGGACGTAGGTTGGTGTAGATTATCCAAATGTAGTTTTAAAAGAGATGTTGCTTCCGTATCCAACACCCAATTATTGGGCTGAGAGGAAAGCTGACTTGTGACAGTAATTGATTAAGAAGAAGGGTTGGATTTATATTATAGGTTCGACCTACACCAACACATGTTGGCTGAGTGGCCTCTTTTGTGATAAATTTGACATATGACTATGGGTTTTCTTTTGGTTTGATTGTTATTAGTTTGTTTTGATGTAGTAGAGTTAGGCTTGCTAACAGTTTTCTGTGTTCTGAAAATTGTTCTTATTGCGGTTAGACAGTAAAGCTATGTGATGCATATTCTTTTTGAATTTATTTTCTATGTCGCATTCTTCACTTTGGACAAGTGCATAAAAGTCTTCAAGAAATGTAGGATGTAGTTATGTTCTTATTGTAGTTTTGAAGCCTTGATATGAGGGAGGAAGTACATTTAATTTGTAGAGGATATAACCACAATATGATCAACTAGGTACTTTGTTTTAGTAGGATATTGGTTCATCATACCTGCCCTCATAGTTATGTTATTTAATTCATTTTTTAGTTGAATTACTCGAGAATGATTAATTTCCTAAAATTGTTAGGCAAGGTTGTTCCATATGTCGGCAGTATAGTCAAGATGAAGGATATGGGAGAGAATTGATGAAGAAATGGTAAATAATATTGCTTTTGTGAGGTTTTGATCGGTAAAATGTTAAAGATCATACTCTTGATCTTGAGGGAGGGGGAATGTTGCAATCTAAAAAAGATTCAAATCCAATACTTGTGAGTAACATCGAGATTTAAATTTACCATCCCAGATAGTTGTCTTGAGTTCGAGGAGTGGTAGCCACATTCTTGATTAGTGACATCAGAACTTTTAACAAATTTTTGTATGGTAGTTTCCTTCATCTTTTGAAAAGATGAATTGCTCTGTTGGTTGCCTTGAGATGATGTTGAGAATGCAGAATGACCTGTGAAGCTATTGGCTATGATACCATGAGAAATTTTTTGCAAGGAAGAGAAGATGTAAAGAAGAAAATGGAGGGAAAAAAGTCTAAAGAAAGATAAGAAAAAATCTTTATTTAATGCATTTGATTTTTAATATAGCTTGTATTTTACAAATATCTCCATGCCCATTATATAGACATTTGAGATAACAAACTTGTAAATAGCATAAGGGATAAAACAGACATTATACAGAACAAGTTAAGTGATATAAATACACTATTTATTCTATGCAACATGCCCTAACAATCCAGAGAAGAGGCGCTGAGAGCGGTGAGAGGTCAAACAGAGAATTGAGCTCGAGAGGTAAGCTCTGAACCTTATTACTGCTTCTGGTCACTCGAAGGAATAACATACTTCAGACGTCTATGTTGTTGTT